AGCTGGGTTCCTGGGAGTATATACGCAGACCAACACAAGGGACTCCCCTCAAAGCAAGGACAAGCTAGTTGTCAAGTGCGGTCAGGCGTCAGGAATCACCAAGAATGCAACTATACCGGAGGTGCGTTCCAGAAGAGATCCAAACCCATCTCAGTGTTCGGGAATGCTCAGGATCACAAAAAAAAGAACCTTCGATATCATGTTGTATAAAACACAGCCAGCTTTTCGGAATTCAGTCGTGGAGGTTGACTATTCATCGAGGGCACGAGCAACATGGGAGACCACCCCATAACAGAGCTCCCCTTTGTAATCTCATGGTGTCTCTCAGGGCCCACAAGAAGCCAACTGTTGATAAGAAGTCGTTCTCAGCTCCTCGGGCTTCCCAATCGTAATATTGCCTTGGCACTGCCATGCCATGCGCGCCAAGGAATCTGAGATCAGTTCAAGCAACCAAGTGCCCCACGCGCGGGCACCGTGGGATCCTGAGCCAAGCTAGCCAATGGGAGCTCACAGCATCCCCCCAAAGGTAGCCTGTAACTGCTCAATGTTGAGAGCCCAACTATACGTTGCTGTCAGTGTTGCCGAGCCAGAGAACAGCTCAAGCAGTGAAAGGTCCTTGGACGCTACGCTGGGTTTAGTACTCCAAGTCTTGGCTTTGGGTTCCTCAACATCAGAAATTAAATATCAGAATCTAAGCAGCGCGCCCGCTGCCAAGAACACCCACTATCATTGCCCTCGGTCCGCAACACACTACTCTGTCTAGGCCACGACGATTGCTTTTTCCGGTTAGGGCCGGACACTCCCAAGTTGAGAATCTCCAATATCAGCAATATAGTCACAAAGATGAATCCTGGGCCAGTGGGATATTGTCGCGTATGAAGCTTGCGCTAACAGCGGTGGCATCCTACCTAATAGCGATGGCCTCCAACCTGATAGCGATGGCGCCCGACCCAAGAGCAATGGCCTCCAACATAACAGCAATGGCCTCCAACCTAATAGCGGTGGCCTCCTTCCTGCCTAATACCAAGAGAGGTCAAAAGGCAAAAAGTGAAGCAGGCTGTAAGGACCCTTATAACTGTGTGTTTCCATGTTTTTTGTTCTCATGTGTTCTCATGACCTCTCTTGGATAGCAATGGCTTCAACAAGGCAGATGTAAATGTCAAAGCGCTTTTATGTTGCAACCAAGGCTTCAACAAAACAGGAAGTCCCAAAGCAATGAGAAGAGCGCACTCTCGCGCTGACAAGCGTACACCCCTTTGTGATGGCATTCTGCCAAAGTACTGACTGACCAGAGCTCCGCAAAAAATGGCTCAAGCAAGAACATGAACAGAGGCGGTGTTTTTTCATTCCTGCATCAAATCAATCACTACCACCGTTGTGCGTACGTGTCAAGCGCACATATTTCCCCAAACTTCTCTTGGCGTTGAGCTTCGCTCAGTCGATAGGCTTCAAGCCATGCAAGTGGCCGACGCACCGTACACAATATAGCTGGCATTCCAGCTATACGCCCCATCAGCATTGCCAACAAAATTACTCTATCATGGCCATCCGGCTAACGACCTGGCCACAAGGAAACTCGCTGCCCAACCTCCTTGCTTTCTGATAGAAACAGTAACACCTCCCTGGCGGTTAGGCGCGAAGTGTTCTAGCTTCTTCTTCATCTCGTTCACGTACACCTGATCCACTGCCCACCTGAACGTCGGGCGCGCAAGGAATTGTTGCAGGTGCAGCTAAGGACCCTGCAGAATCTGGATGCCACTCCCATTGCCAGACTCATCGTGCAGCGTGAAGCTCTTCCGATCTCCAGAGAACTCTTGTGCAATTGGAATTCCAGCTGCGCGCAGTACAGCCTCCTCCAGGAGGGGAAAAAATACAACCTGAGCATTCCTCGACTTCATTGCCCCTTGTTTCTGCCCAACTCCTACTCTCTGTCTCTCTGTCTCTCTCTCTCTCTTTCTCCTTCTTTGTCTTTATCGCTTCTTCCTGATCTTGCTCTCCCTCTCCTAACCCCTTTGCTTTCTCACCCCCTGTATCTGGCAATTGTCCATTTAGTTTCGTTGAGCTGGGGCTTTGAGAGGTGTCCGGTAAAACCCTTTTTTGATCTAAAAAAACGGGTTCCCCGGACACCTTCTGAAGTTGAACCCGAAGTGGAAAATTACTATCTCTCTCCCTCTCTAGCCTTCTCTGTCCTTCTCTCTCCTTCTCTCGCCTCTCTCTACTTCCCATCTGACTCTCTCTCTCTCTCTCTATCGCTCGCTCGCTCGCCTCACTCTTTCTCTCTTACTCTTGAGGCCCCAAATCTACGCTAAGTTTTCTTCCTAAGTAAATTTGTCGGATTTTCTTATTCAAGTACATAATGTAGGGCAGGGCAGGGGGCCCACAGTACCAGCGTCACCGTGGCGCAGTTCTAGGTTCAACGAAGGATTTCTTCGTTGAGCCTCAAACTATGCATTGATGATGTTGGAGGAGGCTCAGCATGTGGACTGGTACCTTGTTTAACTAGAATTGGTCATCTCTATCTCTAAATTTTGCAGTTGCTCCTACTCCCTCTTTATCTCTCTCCGACTCTCTCACTCTTGCTCTTAATTCAAGCAACTTCTTTCAGCTTGTGGCCCTCAAAGCAACGTTACCCTTTTCCACAAGAAAGATCTCTCACCACGCCTTCTCCGTCCAGAGCTGAGGAAGATTCACAGGAGGACGCGGGGCACGCTTTGGACGAGGCTGGGTGTTTCCAGAGTCGGGCTCACGCTCAGCATTGGGTTTCGTAGGCTCAGTGGCCAAACTACACTCAACTGTAGGAGCCGCTGTTCTTTCCTCTGGTTCGCTATTCGTCTTTGTCTGGGTTGGTGCTTTCTTTGCCCGAGGCTTTCGCTTAGGCCCAGGCTGCCCAGGCTTTTGTTTCTTTTTCCCATCAGATTCACCATCGGAAGCTTCATGACCACGCTTCGATCCCCGAGCGGCCTTCAAGACCTGTGATGTAGTTAACGATGTGTGCATGCAGTGCATGCGCTAATAAGTGAAAGAACGCATTATGTTTTACATTGAACTCGCAGAGTCGAAGAAGATGCGACCCAGGCCTCTGCCTGACTCGCGAGAAGGTCAGCATCTTTGCTGGCTGAAGAGGCAAGAGTGTCGGAGACTACGGCGACCTGTTGGGCCAAGCTGCCATCCAGTTCTACTGGAGCTGGGAGTAGAGGTGCTTTCTCCTGGAGACGTAGGACAATGAGTCGATTGCGCAACAACGGAAAACCTTGGGTCCTTGGCAGCCTGCCGTTTTGATGCTACAGCCAAAGATTTTGCCTGGGTCAGCTGTCAGGAATAGATATTTGTATAACGCGTTTCACAAAAACAGTGGCCTCAACATTAGCAGCTGGGATCCCTTGTGTCTTTCCAGGTGGAACTGGTTCCTGCGTGCATTTTGTTATCTACTGTCTTCCAAAAGCACGAATCGAAGTGAGAAACGCCTGACTGTCGTGCAAATCGATCATCTTTTCCTGCAGTACGAGCGGGCAGGTCTTGGTAAGGCCCAGTGGTTTGCTTACACTTCCCACCTCAGGCGAGATCTGGGAAGCGGCCACTAAGTACTATCAAGATGTGCGTTTTAAAGGGTTTGCGTTCGCCGTGTTCCAACACGTGCCTGGACCTCTCCGCGGTCAGACCCACTAGAGAGAGAAGCTTCAGGTTCCTGCGCAATCTTGTCATTTTTGTTGCGAAAAGAGTTTTAGGCCTTCACCATGACAGCACTACCCCTACAGTCCTGCCCCTCAGTGTGCTCAACATGGCGCCGAATAGCCTCCTCCACATCCAAGTTGGCACCGCCAGGTGCAGCTGCGGAGCATTGCGCAAGCGTGCCGGATCACTTGCTTTGATGAGAGAAATGATGCGCGGGAAGTCAGTTGCAGTACATTAGCTGACACACAAAAAGCCCAGCCTTCAGCAAGAACTTGGTGGATCAAAGTTTTGATATGGAGAATTTTCGGGTTCCTGCCAGTACAGGATTGGTAGAAGATCGAGCCGGAGTTCAAAAACAAACCCCACCTTGCACCATGGCTTCGGCCTGCCAGCTTCATAGCATGGATTCCCAAAGCGCGTGCTTGGCCAGCTGTAACAGAGCTCCAGTCCTTCAAGAGTATAGCGCAACATCCCTTGAAATAACTAGAATCTATATCCTTAACGATCTTCTTGCGCGTTCTCGGAGGGAAGATTCCATATCGGTCCGCCATCTTCCTGAAAACGGCCTGCAACAAGGCTTCAAAACAAATCTCACTTTCCCCCCTAAACATGTACTCCAATCGGAATGCCTTCCACATCGAATGGCACGGCCACTGGGATTCACTTGCAAAGGTGGCGACTAGTTGGATGACAAAATCAAAATTGTCCTGAAAGGAGCACTCTTCGCACTAAGAATTTGGAATGTGCATGTGTGCAAGACCAACTTGATAATTGTCCTCCAATGCTTTTGCACTGGCTGGGTCACAGCCATCAAGCGTCAACAGGGATCGACTGGAATCGTTTCGGATCTTGCTCAGCACATCTCCCTTGATCAAATATTGTTCGATCACATCCTGCCATCAGTTGAAAGTCTGATACTACAGAAATCTTCACAGATCCATGTTACACAAAAATACACGGATGTAAAAGATCAACCTCCGCAAGTAAGTTTGCACGTTTACGGATGCACGCGCATGTCCTCGAGCATCATCAGCTGGCTATCCACACTCGCCTGCAGACGTGTACACGAACTAGGGTACACAGAGAGTATGTGAGGCCAATCTTAGGTCTCCACCATATCAAGTATCCGGCCAACGCCCGAAGCACGTGCAGGGCCGCCCCACTAACAAAAAGAGCTGCGAACGAGCAGCCAAAGTGCATGGACCAGCAAAACTTGTCATGGCACCTTCTCAGGGCTTTGGTAGATCAAATGTCACAACAAATCTTGGATTGAGTCGACCAACCTATCAATTTCACTAAGAAGTGCCTTGAGCAAACACATGGGGCACCAGTCTCTGATCGTTGTGAGCTCCATGACTTGGTAGTCGATGATGAGGTCGATGGGAAGTTGCCTCGAACAGGCTCTATGAAGGGGATTAACCAAACATGTCCAACTATATCTTGCTAAGTTCCCCACACAGGGCTGTGGCTCGCCGCATGGCGGCACCCAGCAGCAAGAACAAGAGCCACATGCGAGATCCAGTCAAGATTTCTTATGCATGTGGCAGGTTTGTAAGTCCATTATTGTACCCAAGGATGTGGATCAGTGTTATGGGGCATCATTGTTGTGTAAGCCCCCATCCTTTGATAGAGTTTGGAGCGCCCTCAGCGGTTGAATCATGAATCTCTCCAAAACATGTGGTGATCGCCAATGTTGAAGGCGGCTCATGCGACGCCTCCCGGCAAGAACTATAAGTAAAGAGGCCACAGATACATCCCATCGCAAGCGCTGATGGCCCAGCTGTGCCAAACCAAACCCTAAACATTTCAAACTTGCGACATGTCCTCCATCATGCAAAAAATCGATAACACAAGGGCCTGGACACCATGTTTTAACGAACGTAAGCTCCTGGAGCTAACATTTGAAAGTAAGCTCGTGAGACCAACATTCGAATGATGGCAAATATTGCTTACACGGAGCGTTAGGGATATTTATTATAGCCATTATGGAATTATGTCTTAGAACTGACTCAGGACTATAAGACACTAAAAGTGGCTATAGTAAATATTTTTCTTTTTTTAGAAGTCAGCCCCCCGTTCAAGGCCATTGATTAGGAGGTTGATCACTGTTTATCACTCCAATGTTTTCTTGCATGGCTTGCTTCATGCAGATTCTACATGATGCTTGGGTGATGTATCCGTGTAGCCGGTGTAACCCGTTTGAGGCTGGGTGATGGTGTGAAAGAAGTGGACTCAGCCCGGATATATAATCCAACTTCATTCTTCTTTCAGCAGTTTTATGATTATCACAGGCCTGGATGGCATAATCAGGTACAATTTTCTGTTCCAGAGGTGGAACAAAAACGCTAACCAAATCCCCTTCACAAGGTGTACTAGGAAGATCTAGGAAGTTTGATGAAGTTTGGAGGTCCTGGTTTTCCAACATTGCCATGATTTGCCGCAAAGTGTAGTGGTTCAAACCCGAACATCTGGTCTCTGGCTGCCCGACTTCCACCCCATCTGTCTCCACGTCCGAACCCTTAAATGAGCGAGATGTTCAAAAGTTGGACCGTTTCTACTGAGGCTTCGTTGTTGGTTTTCCGACCTCGTTTTCCCAGAAATTATGGAATTGCACCAGATAGGTTTGTTCACCAGGTGAGTTAGACTGCCACTGGACCTTTACAATGTGAAGTACAGCAAAGGACCTTCTTAAAAAAAAATACCAGTACAGCAAAGGAACTTCTTACAGTACGGGGCATTTAGGCCAGGGTCTACAAACGACACTTTTTCGTGGATTTTGGCTTCGTTTGGGGTTTCGTTTTGGTATCGTTTTGAGACACCACATTTCAGACACTCCAAACCCTGAAGAAAAAGAATCGAAAGCACCAAGCAATCGCTCTGCAGGAAAAACAAAGCTGCGATCCGAGAGCTACTTCCCAGCTTCAACTTTCTAGCTTCAACTTCGGCAAGTCACAGGCAACTAGAGCCTCAGTGTGGCTTTTACAATGTGAAGTACAGCAAAGTGCAATTACCCCTTCATCTTCAGTACTTCTCAAAAAAGGATACCAAACATCCCACCAAGGTTTTTGGTTTTCCGGCTTCTTTTTCCAAGAAATGTGCAAGATCTTACCCCAAATGATCCATTTACAGTACTAGTAATATGAAAACTGAATGCCAGGTTTTTTGGGGTGGCTCAAATGACTGCCCTCTCCAGGTTAAGGATGGTTAAGGGGCGGTAAGAAAAAGAGTAAGTTGGACTGTGACTAGATCAAAACAACACGTCACTAATCCATGAATTATCCCATTCTGCGGGTGGAAACAACCACTTGACTCATATATATATATATATCATCATACATCTCTTACCAAAAAAAACATTCTGCTCTCCTTTTGTTCCTTTCGATTCTCTTCTTCTCCCTCACCTCCCAGGTGTAGCAGCCACGACTTGTGGCCTCTTCCTCAGGAACACCGGGCGGAAATCCAAGGAATACTTCAAGTGAACCCCCAGCAATAAAGGAGTATTGTGAGTCACATCGTTGGAAAAAACCTCCGATCTCTCAGAGGCCCTGGCTATCTACGTTTCATACGGTAATATATAGATCAAGCCTCTCATGATCACGCCGTCTCTTGAAAAAAAATCGATGTTCATCATCATCGAGCCAAGTGAAGCTTCAAAACTGCCCACATCTGCCCACAAAATGAGGAAACAAATCAATTGCACTGAAACCTTGCATGGGGGGCTTCATGATCCTGAAGTAACGCAGAATGCACTTCGTCAATGTTGATGGACGGACGATAGGACCGTGTCTCGAAAGAGGGAATCACCCAAAACCAACCAACCAACCAACCAACCAACCAACCACCCAACCACCCAGCCAACCAACCAACCAACCGACTGACCGACCGACCGACCGACCAACTTGTTACGTAGCAGGGGCTCCCGATAAACGGCACAGTGGAAAACAAACTTGGTATGTCAAGGTCCTTGAGGAAAGTTTGCAGGTGGCCTTGCACATGTCCTGTGTGTGTGTCACCCCTGTACCTAAGGGTTCCGATGTTTCCAAGCAGGGGGCCGGAGCCAGGTGGGGTCTCCGGCCAATGAAGACGCCCCCCACCTGGGTGAAAACGTCCCTGCGTTTTTCCAATTTAATTTTTAATCAAGCTCTAAAGTGCTAATGCAAGATGAAAACAATGTTGAAACATCTCCAATTTTCCGGACTCCATCGCCTTTCCGTTCTGCATTTTTGAGTCAAGGTCTAGTTGCACTAAAGGGAAACTTTTGTTAAACTATACTGTTCTCGCTGACCCATGCGCCTTTCTGTTCCCTCACCTTCCTTCTCAACGTGGGAACTGAGTTAACTGCAAACCAATGTCAGAGTGTGAACCGCTCAGCCGTCCCACTTGGGTGCTGAGTGTGATCCCCGTGAAAGGGGCGCCGAAGCCATACCGGAAATCATCCTTCCCGTTCATAACTGATTTTTCTCCACTGACTCACCTGTTCCACTTCCATAACTGAATTCACTGAACAAAGAGCCGCCGGGCTTTCACGGTGAACAACCATGGCCGCCGGGCCAAAAAACGGAATTCCACTTGCGGTCAGGCATGTTTCCCTTCCCCCCCCCCGCCGAGTTCTACTCCCCACCTAATTAGGGCAACACAGGGAAATGGTACTCGACACACTTGTGTGTCGGTGCCTTTCCCTTTGTTGTTCCTGTTCTAGTCTTCTCTACCCGGGCGGTCTAAGACTAAAGTCCCGCTCCCTAACTATTGCATTTAATTCGCCTCGGCTAAGTAATCAGTAACTCTAGAGTGCTAAGTAGTCATACACACACACGGACACACACATGCTACATACACCCCCTCCCTGCCCCCCCCTTTCTTTCTTACGCTTTCGGTCGTTTCTTGGGCTTTCTCTCAGGCTTTTTAGGTTGTTCTTGAGGCTCGTTTCCCTGCCCCAGTCAAGGGCTAAGTATTCACCTTTTTTTCTACACCTATCTTTCTCTCTTGCCCTCTTAGCGCTGCTCTTTCTGTGTTTCTTTCTTTTGTTTCTAAGGCTTTTAAGGTGCCTATTCAGGTCGATCGCACGAGCGCCGCAAAGCGGCACCGTGTGTGTGTGTGTGTCACCCCTGTACCTAAGGGTTCCGATGTTTCCAAGCAGGGGGCCGGAGCCAGGTGGGGTCTCCGGCCAATGAAGACGCCCCCCACCTGGGTGAAAACGTCCCTGCGTTTTTCCAATTTAATTTTTTAATCAAGCTCTAAAGTGCTAATGCAAGATGAAAACAATGTTGAAACATCTCCAATTTTCCGGACTCCATCGCCTTTCCGTTCTGCATTTTTGAGTCAAGGTCTAGTTGCACTAAAGGGAAACTTTTGTTAAACTATACTGTTCTCGCTGACCCATGCGCCTTTCTGTTCCCTCACCTTCCTTCTCAACGTGGGAACTGAGTTAACTGCAAACCAATGTCAGAGTGTGATTGTGTATCAGAACAGGGCTGCTGCAACCCAGCGTCCTGAGCCCCGCCAGCTGCTGCGCCTTGGGCGCTCCACCAAAGATGGGCTCTAAAAGCAGATCACCCGAGCGGGCGTAGCGCTCTGCCTGCCAAAGACCGGATCTGTATTGAGAAAGCGTGGAAAAGCGAGCTCGTTGGCGACGTTGACCAACCAGATCTGAGTCACCCTTTGGAGGCTATAAGTGACAGCATGTGTGTCCTGGTCCGACCTCAAAGGTGTTCAGTTCTTTTTATGTCTATGGACTGGATATACAGGGAGCTCCCCAGTCAGCCAATGCGTCTTGTTCAGCCACGTCCCCAGTCACAGTGCAGTGAGTGGATCGGCCCTTCAAAGGGATGGGTCAACCCGAAGACCCGAAGCACACAAAGGAGAGCAAACAAGGACACCCCCAATTAAGATAGCAAAACCATCCAGAACCGGCTTGAACTTCTCTGCCGGACCGGTCTTCCAAACACTCCAAATGATGGAATGCAAAGGTGCAATTCTCCGTCTTCCCTTGTGGGTACCTGTAGATCGAGACACAACCATCAAACAAAAAACCAATCAGTGACCTACAGTACTTATGTACCTACCCACCAGTTACCCTCCCAGTGACTTCACACCGGTCCACCCGTCGGTCGGTCCACCACCACCAAGTCGCTGTGACCAGGATCTGCGCCACGAGCCTCGGTGTGTCTCAGGGGTGTCTAATAGGAACTCAAACCAAAAACCACCGGTTAAAGACAGTTGGAGGGGATCCATAATTGAAGATTAATTAATACCGTTACACCAAGTATATTTTGAATATTACATAAGAACATGAAGGAGTGAAACGGGAATTTGCTAGGACGTTCTCGGAAGGCCAAGGTCAATCCTTCTAGATTCATGCTCAAGCAGGTGACTGTTCACAGAGCCAACAACCTCCAAACAGCCCCAAAAGCAAACAGTCGCCAGTCTCCCTTAAACATCTACAATTGATGATTAAAACATATTGAACTGGACATATCCTTGCAATATATTATCCTAAATGGATCTAGATGGAGTCTAGATGGTAGTAATCATTCCTCTCTATTTGGGCGTCGTTTCTATCTTGGGACTTCCAAGAAGTCCTCTATTGATCGAATCAGATGCGACCCGCAATTGACCACCGATGCTTGGAGAGCATACCAAGGGTGAAAGTTTCCCTGGTGGAGTCGCGTGGACTTAATTACATAGACCTGGGAAGACCTGCAACCATTGGATTGATGGTTGTTGATGGCCTTTCAACATCAATTGTATGATGAGTATAGTATTGACTCAGCTGGTCAGCGTGACTCTGCCGATTCAAGGAGCTCCCGTCGACTGGTCCAAGGAGCTCCCGCGTGGGACCCAAGACCAGCAGCAAGGGCCAGCACTCGGGTGTGATGGGTCCAGGGCAGCGAAGCAACCGGCTGAAACTGGGAAGGAGATAGGCCTCAAGTTAGGTCGGAATCAGTCGGACCTAAGTTGAGGACGTATTGCCAAGCGTTACCAAGGTCCTTCAAAGAGGAAAGTCCCTTGATTTCGAGACAGAATTATTCTAGAATTGATTGTTTAAATCCTCTTTTGGTTCCCCTTGGCTTCCAAATGTTACTGGGTGAGCCAGGCAACAACAAAAGGATATAAAAGGTAAACCTGTCGGCCATTCGCCGATTTGGCTTTGGAACTGGAGATAGCAAGGGTCCATATCCTTTGCGTTCGGATATGTTCGGAGGTCTACCAGTGTATCAGTATCATCAGCATATCGGATATCTGGATTCGACGACTTGCTGGGCCCTGAGGGTCTCGTTTTCAGTGTTTTTTTCCCCACACTCGGCCGGTTAGGCATCCCAGGCACCAAAGTCTTGCCAGACCCGGTGGCGGAGATCCCTGCGCGGTGAAAAAGAAGGATCAAGCCAAGCTAGTTCGTTGCATGGGCGTGTAGAAACCAAGCTGCATCCTCTATCTCTGAAGTTGTGATCTTGAACTCTTGAACTATAATCAAAGGAACCATCCAAATACTTAACAGACTTAACATATACTGGGTGTTACGTTGCTTTTGTATGCTTTGGTCAGGAAGTCGGACTGGGGGGGTTCCCCCTAATGATTCCAATCCGACCACGAAACATGTACGTAACCATCGCAAAGGCTCAGCAGTTCATTTCTGAGCCCACTTGCTAGTAGAGACATAGTGTCGAGGAGCTGTCACTGAGAACTTCACACATTGAAACATTAATAGCTCCAATGCTCTGACCCACCCTTGAATAGAGGACCCAAGCAACGGCTGGGTAAAACATGATGAAACATGATGAAACCACTGATGAAATCCACTGCTTGGGCTGCCCAAATCAAAGAGAGACATTCCAAGAAATTGCAACATTATGAATTGATAAGCTTTTGGAAACATCCTCTTCCGCATTCTATCTCTCTCTCTCTCTCTATGAAACACCACTGCAACCTCCTGCAGTTGACGATGAGATCGCGCCGTGATCGCGCCTATGAGATCGCGGCCGGCGGCGACGATGGGCAGGGCATAGGACTGGATGAGCCTCGCTGCGGCGGTCGCGGACGAGACGACGCAGGCGACACGGCCGTCCCCTCGACCGTGAGGACTCGAAGGATTCGATGTTTATCTGAACTCCGCACCTTGTTACTAGTAGCTTCTTGCTCCTAGTAGTAAGGCCAGGAGCCCCTAATAGCGTCCTTGCTCCCGGTAGCGATGCCAGGAGCCCCTAGTAGCTTCTTGTTACTGCTTCATGTTCGATGTCTTGAGAAGTCGACACCTCTTGGTTTCCCGAAAACTCTCAAACTCTCCCTTCCAAACTCTGGGTCTTCCAACACCGATGCTGGTCTTGGTCGCACAGCTGAGGTCAGTGCGTGGGCTGTTCAAAGCCATTCGCTAGCAAAGGTGCCATAAGCTTGGTGTGCAAGACCTCGAAGATAGGACGTGATGTGAGGTCCAAGAAGGACCACCTTCAATTCTTCTTGTCGGCTTTGCAGTCTGCTTTATGTGTGATTTGTTTCTACTTTCTACATGTTTCTGCGCTTTGCCAGGGTCTTTATTCTTTGAAGACAAGCCAATGTGGGTCGCAAACCCGTTAGTCATGTTACCCTGTGACCAGAACTCAAGGCTACACTTTGTACAGGTTCCAGGTTCCAGCAAAAGAAACATGTTTCATGCCATGCACCGCAACCGCCTCCCGAGGTGTTTCTGCAAGTTGGGCTTCCCAGTCTACTAGGTGGAAATCGTCCATACTTCACACCAACCAGTCGGACGCACAACATCATATAAGCTAATTTACTTATTAGTAGAACGAGGACCAGGACGCCCCATGAGGCCCCCAATCAAACTCATTGGGGGACACTCCTACCATGCGGGATGTGGGCTTTTGCTCAACCCCATTAAATGAAGCTTGCCTGATGCCAACTGCTTCAAAAAGGCATACGTACCGAATCCTATGCAGAATCAAGAGCATCCAAAGCCAAAGTGCCGTGTAAACAACAATCATCATGGAGGAGCGATCTAGTCTGGTTGGTGGCATCAACTCCCTTGAAACATATTAGTCACTGGGATCAATCATCCCATGTAAAGGTTGAAACAAATTCTGATACCACCACCCCAGTAGGTACTCTAATTGCTTTGTATTTGGTTCCTCCCTTCCGGGCGTATTCTACGCCACCAACCTTCTCCCGCCGCGCCACCACTTTGGCATCTTCAAAGCTCTCCACCGGAGATGGAATGGCTTGACTGGTGGGCGCTTGTCTCAGCTTCACCATTGGCTCATTTGGCACCCTTGGTGGGTAGGCTGGCTGCCCCAGGATTCATGGAATCCACCAGAAGGTTGGGCAAAAGGTTTTCCCAATAAGTTTCCAAAAGAGGTTCGGTGGACCCAATCCTTTCCAGAAAAAAACACAGCAATTGCCCGTCTGAACGAACACTTTGGATCCCATGTACACCTGAACATGAGAATTCTGGTGACTCCGGTCCAATGATTCTAATGGCCCTGTCACAATCCCAGAATATTGGAATGCAAAGGGACTGGAGAATGAGGGGATTGGGCAAGTACACATGTCTTAAGTTGCCAAGCCGCCCAGCAACCTTAGGATCCAAAGCACCCTCTCCTATCACAGTATATATAGTGCGATCACAGCAGTGCCATGAAACATACTGTATGCGACGAACGTCTTCTTGTCGTCAATAACTCAAGGCCCCAGCTCTGGCTCCATCTCCACCTCCACAGGCTCTTCTTCATGGGCCGTCTCTGGCTCTGCAGCCGCCTGAGACATTGGAGAGGTTGCAAATATCATGGGACCCGATCAACATATGGGCTGAAAACGCAACCACACTGATTAATCAAACATATAACCTAATATAGTATAATTACTATATGTATATTTAAACACACATGTTTATTCCATATCTAATCCATATCTTATAAGTGTGAGAATTATCTGAAACTTTCTGAGCCAATAAATATTTTTTTTTCCGCAGACATGTTGTCTAATCGCTGAGAGGTGTTTGCAAGTACATCGCATAGTTCTTTCCCCTGTCCTCGGCGCAATGTCTCAACTTCAGGCGACTCTCAACACTGCGACTGCCAACCTTTTTAAGTTGTGAATATCACCCGACCTCCAGTAGGACCCTTGAACCGCTTCCGACTGCGCCTCCTCCCTGCCTCCGGTCGGAGGACGGCGCTCCTCCTGCCCTGCCACGTCACGCAGGTACCTGCCATGCTCATTCATCGCTATTAGGTTGGAGGCCATCGCTAGTATCGGCCCCGCCCGCCCCAAGCCTGTCGGTCTCCAGCAGCTCCACCGGGCGATAGCCTGCGGTCTCCAGCTCCGCGAAGGAGACCGTGCCGCCCGTGCCTGGGTTCGCGGTGTGGTGACCCAAGTGGGTGGAAGGAGCCTGTATTTGCTTGTATGATTTGCTGTTTGTCATGTTTTGGTAATTGTCCATTATAGTGTCTTTTTACAGAACACATATTTAGACAAAATGAGACCAAATGTGATAGAGATCGATAAAGTGTTATATAACAGCATCACAAAAAGGGTGGCTTATTAATGGCTGCTCATATGATAAAGATTGATAACGTGTTATATGACATCACACAAAGGGTGGTTCAAGGAAGAGAGGCCAATCGTTCTGAAGGGCCAATGAAAACAAACAACAACCTCTCCGCCCCACTCCCAACACACTCCCCAACGTTCACCGGGGCCTGTCTCCAACCGTGGCCTCTTGGCATTTCCTGCGTCACGGATCCGCTACTCGGGGTGTGGACACGCACGCCGTTAGGTCGATGGTGGTTGGTTCCGCGCGCGTCGATACAATATAGACCTTTATATATTATTAATAAAGACATAGGCCCAAGGCCAGGCCAACTGAGAGACTTAAAAACGACATCCTTCTATTTGGATGGTCTACTGATAAAAATCCTGTTGCACGTCTACGGCATGGTTGGAACATGTTGGAACCCACTCAGAGAGGGAATCTGACCCTCAGGCTGCCTCCTCCAAGCCACAGTAAAGGTTCAGTATTGTATAGTATTGTCAATCATTCAGATTTAGTACGGATTGGTGAAGACGGTTCGAGGTCATCCACAGAGTGGGTGAGCATCTAGCAGTCTCTCATACTCAAACAGAGTGTAGGGGGTTGAGTACTGCTTCACCTTTTGCCACTTCATGCTTCGTTCGTGTCCTTGGCCATCGTCGTCCTCTTCTTCCTCAGAGCCGCTATCGCCTTGCAACTAGTGTGCCGACGCAAACCGACAAAGTCTGTTATCACGTGCGTCTTCGTTTTGTAGGACTTTCTTGATTCTTGATCCCCTAGTAGCGTCCTTGCTCCTCCCAGTAGTAGTCCCCTTTTTCTTGGATGTCGGGAGTTGCGGGAATCTTGAACACATGCTACTGCTAAAGGACTGCTGGACACGAGTGGTCCTGTCATCAGGCATAAATGGCCTCCCACATTTCGGACTGCGGACTGTGTACAAAAAAAACATGCAAAACAAGGGAAGACAACCGAAAGCCACGGACTTGTTTCTCATCTGGAACATAAACTGAATATTTCATGGTGTTGTTACTTGAGGAATTGCACACCTGAACCGCTGAAATCGTTACTTCGAATCGCTTCCACAACTCGGTAAGGGCTTTTGACGACGACAACAACAACAACTCAGCCCTTCACAACGGAGGGCCAGCAGTCACCTCTACAGGAAGCACAAAGTTACTAGAAATTCAGGTCACCCACTCTCCAACTGCTAGAGGCCGGTCATGTTCCAGCAGTTGTCCAGTTTCCTTCCCGCCAGCCTATCAGTGCCAAGGGATCTTGGAGCATCCCATGGCAGGATCGCCGCGGACCCGCGGAAACCGGTGAAAACACCCCATCCGCGATCTCTGCGTCTGGTTAGGTCCGAAAGCCAAGATCGAGCGCCAGCAAGGATTGGAAGCAGTTGGGGATTTCTCAGATGACAAGTGATCGGAATCACAAGATATCGCAAGTGATCACAACTCACATCAGCGAACGAAGTACCAACACGTGTCCCCCAAACTCCCACCGCAGCTGCGAAGACTGCGGCCGGGTCCTGGTTGATACCGGGCAGCTTCCCCAAGAGGCCGCAGCCCCAATTCCTGAGGCGACGTTCGTCGTTCGGCGTCGTGCACAGCCACCACACCGCCCCATCGAAGAGAAAACACATCGTGACAAAGTAGTGACAGTTCCCATGCTCACATTCTCATAGTGTGCCACTATAGAGAAGAGCAACCCAGAAAAACCAGGATGTATCATTGCCATAAACATTCATAGACTTCATGGACCATCAGAACACAGGGCAGAGTTCAAGTGGCTTTTGTGACCTCATTGGGCGCCGTCTCGCCTTCTGTGACATCATTGCCTAGCTGATCCGTCAGGCCTTGCCCCTTCATCCGAGCTGCGGATCATCGTCGGATCCCAAATCCTAGAGCGATAACTGGAGTCAGATCGCGCAGCAATGTGTTCAAACGTTTGCTGTATTTTGTTCATATGCTATAATATAAGTCCTTACATACAGCAGTGAATGTACAAAACGTACAAATCTTACACTAAAATACAGTACACTACATGACTCTATCGATTGCCAATGAAATGGCCGCTGTCCCATTGCGGTTTCTCACTACTTCCAGGCAAACTGCCAGGGATGTCTGAGAACAACATTTGATTCCAAACACAACTGGACGGTCAATTTTGTGCCTGCACCTCCACTGGCACTGGAGCTGTTGGTGGAGCAGGAGCAGCTGGGGTGGGTGCTGGTGCTGCTGGTGCTGGTGCTGGTGCTGCTGGTGCTGGGGCAGGAGCTTCGCTGGGCTCTGCCGGCTCCGCTGGGGTTGGTTCGGCAGGTGCTGCGGGATCCGGCAATGGTACTTCAGGTGCAGCGGGTGCGGGTGCAGGCACCTTAGTTTTCAGCGCTTTCTCGGGCAAAGTCTAGACCGCGGCAACGGCCAAAAGGTGACCGGAGAATACTGGAGGTTACCGCTCAACACCTAGCAAATCCCAGAGGGCAAACACATTCCAAAACACATATTATATGCACAACATAGGTAGGAGGCCATCGCTATTAGGTTGGAGGCCATTGCTATTCATTGCTATTGGGTTGGAGGCATTCGCTATTAGGTTGGAGGCCATTGCTATTAGGTTGGAGGCCATCGCTATTAGGTTGGAGGCCATCACTATTAGGTTGAAGGCCATCGCTATTAAGTTGGAGGCCATCGCTATTAGGTTGGAGGCCCTTGCTATTAGGTTGGAGGCCATTGCTATTAGGTTGGAGGCTATCGCTATTAGGTTGGAGGCCATTGCTATTAGGTTGGAGGCTATCGCCATGGGGTTGGAGGCTATCGCCATTAGGTTGGAGGCCATTGCTATTTGGTTGGAGGCTATTGCTAATAGGTTGGAGGCCATCGCTATTAGGTTGGAGGCTATCGCTATTAAGTTGGAGGCCATCGCTATTAGGTTGGAGGCCCTTGCTATTAGGTTGGAGGCCATTGCTATTAGGTTGGAGGCCATCGCTGTTAGGTTGGAGGCCATTGCTATTAGGTTGGAGGCTATTGCTATAAGGTTGGAGGCCATCATAGGCCCTCACCAAATTAAGTTGGAGGTTATCGCTATTAGGTTGGAGGCCATCGCTATTGGGTTGGAGGCTATCGCTATTAGGTTGGAGGCCATCACTGTTAGGTTAGAGGCCATTGCTACCATGTTGACCAAAAATGCACATCGCCACCCTATCTAGGCTCACCTATTTTTCCAACCCCCCGACCCTATTTTTCCAACCTCCACCTATTTTTTCAACCCCCTGCCCTCTTTTTTCAACCCCCTAACCTATTTTTTCAACCCCCTAACCTATTTTTTCAACACATCAACCTATTTATTCAACCCCTCAAGGGTCCCCATGGTTTGGATAGTGCTTGTTGTATAATTTAGATGATTAGCATGTTGGCCAAAATGCTTGGCATCAAAGTCGCACAAAATCTCCCGCCATTCTCCCCCATGAATAGGGTCGTCCACATGCCGCTGCCTAATGTTTGGAGGCAAGAGGATCTTCAGTTTGTCCCATCCTTTCTTCCCGGGGTTCATGTCATACTCGACCTTGACAAGTTTGAAGGGAAAGGTGTTCAAGTCGACCTCTTTGCTTGCTCCCGGTGTCTGGGGCGGTGTGGGCTGATACGCCCGCACGTTTCCGAACGAGGATGTGTGGCCATTTTTCCAGTCCTGGCAGGAGAACTCTGTGGAGTGGCTGGGGGCAAGTGGGTTGTTTGGGTGGTGGGTCACATCTTAAAGGGATCCAAACTCATAGTCCTACACTTTACAATTTTGGTGAAACAGTCACATGGCAACTAGGAAAGTCCTGAAGAAGCTCAAGCGCCAAAGACTTCTCCACAAATTGGGCTGTGGCGAGGCTCTTTGACAAACTGAGGGTTTTGAACTTGACGCCATCAATCCCTTTCCTGCAAACCTTTTCAACCCAGCAATCGTAGGGCGTCAAATTGATCAGGGCCAAGAGATCCGCCTTTCCATCAAGGTCTGTTTTGGACATGAGCGCTGACAGCAAACTCCTTGGCAGTTGCTCACCGCCCAGGAGTTGCGCGCACTCCTGCACATCACTGAGGCTCCTGGCAGGGAAGATCTATGGGCCAATGTATGTGGGGTGATAAACAAACATCCATGATTGAACGGACCCATGACACCCAGCCTGATTCCCTCTGATGCGTGGGGGAGAGCGTCTTTCTCAGCAGTGGGGACGATATAAGAGCTCTCACTTTGCCAGCCAATCTCTCCCCTTGTAGCCCTGAAGGGAATGGGGTCAAATTTAACTGGACATGGCAGGTGTCACAACAAAGTGTCAGAAGTCTGAAAGTAGTGTGAACTTAACAAGGAACAAGCCTGTCCAAGAGAAGTTGTGATGGGCTGAAGATGTTGTTCTCCCGATCTTTGTTTGACCTTGCGTACATTTGGCTCATCAGACACATAATTATGGTTCTTTTTTAGTCTAAGTGCCAACAAATGACAACAAAGCATTCAATTTGGGTGGAGCAGCCTGTTGAACAAATCATGTCATGATTGTAATACCAAGTGGCAAGACAACCCAGGCATCAAACTGGAGTGGCACACGCTTCTTCGGATTGGGCAGGGCGCACCGCAGCGAGATCGATTGACTGAATAGGCTTTTCATGTCCATCTTGTCCTCCAAAGCCCTGTCCAAAGTGTCACAGCTCATGTGGGAAGGACCCTATAGTGTTCTTTGGCTCACTGTATCTTAGGTTGCAAAATGAATACGATCTAAATCACCACTGAGTTTGAAGGGATTCCCCCACTGCAGTCCTGATCTGCCCACGATAGCCCTGATGTTTCTCGGACACGAGGTATGGTGCGATGACGATGGCTGCAGAGGACTTGTAGCGAGCATGTAGGATGTGTGACAGCAGGTTGCTAAACTCATCAATTTCTGAGATAGCCATCCTCCCGCATTTCATCAGGTCGCACCACACCACCACACTTGTGTCTGGATGCCGTTGCAAAAACTGCAGGGGAGATGATGTGTTATTTGGAATATGATACTCTTCAAAACAACACCGCTTGGATGTTCAATTTACTGTGGATGACACTTAACACTTAAAACATCTTTAAGAAGTTAAAGCTTGTTTGTCCCCTCCGCACCCTTTCTGCCACATTCAATTGATCTTTGATGACTCCAGAGTGCACTGCCATGTTGGCGTTCATGTGGTCTGCCACAATGGCTGAACCGATGGCATTCTGAGCCTTGAGGTGTAATATCTTCTCTGTTTTCTTTGAATGTTCGTTCTGAGTGATGGCCTTGTAAACCTGGCCGATTTGAGCAAGGTCATGAGCAAGAGCCACAGTGTCTGCGGCGTACATGGCATCTTTCGCTTCCCTGTTCAGGTCTGACAGTTGCTGAGTTGCGATCGTCAGCCTTTCACGCACATGATCCTCCTCCACTGGCGCGTGTTCTTTGAACAGGGAGGTCAGCTCTGGCCTGAAGGTGGGATCCAAGCAGCTTAGGGCATCGTCAGCGTCAGATGTGTAGTCCCTTACATGCCCCAAGTACAAGCAACAGGGGTTGAAGTATTATTGGCGCTTGGTAGTGTAATAAAAAAGGGTCCACAAAAAAAGTTGACTCCCCTGAAATGTTGGTGAGAGTCCCTTCAAGAGTGCGCTGAAACACCGCTGCAAAGAGCTTCTCTGGAAAAAGCGCATTTCCTTCATCATTCCTGGCAGCTTGCATTGTTTCAAGAATATATCCCAGAACGCAACAGCGATCGCACTCTGCGTTCCAATCAGCCAGCGAAAGCCTTGCGTTGCTGGATTTGGCGCCCCTGTTGGACGCCACCTCGTGGAGCAGCAAGACCCGTTGGATGAAGAGAAGCTGTCGGTCTGAGTTCATCTTTAGGATGTCAGACCAGAGGTGGCAACTTTTCACCCCTGAGTTCTTTGAACATCCGTTCAACATCCACCGAGAGTCCAGTAGAAGCTGGTTGCTGAAAGCTGCAGGGCGCCAGAGTTGTTAACCACACCCTCACTCAAACAGTTTGTGTATGGATTTCTGTCACATTCAGAGTTCAGTTGGAGTATGTTGGAGTTCTTGTCTTTGTCCCACCCACACAGCCCCAAACACTAATGTTAGCCTCCCCGCCTGAATGTTCAAACTTGAACACATGCAGATGGTGCTCCAGGATATCCCACACATCGTTAGAGACTCCAACCTCACAGAGACAGTGTAGGGGCGCTCAGGAACAATGAGGCAAGTTGGACTCAGAAAAACTGTTAGAATGCTAGAGTTTCAGGGCCGGGGAACTGTGAAGCCATAGAGCTGCAAAGCTGTGTTGGAATCGATCCGAGACTTGCTGGAAAAGACAGCTGAGCCATATCCGTTGAACTCATCCACAGCCTTCAGGAAGGCGCTCTTGAAGTTCAGTGCAGGGTCCTGGTGGCTGGGTTCTCAGCATGCATGCAGTATTATGGTAGCAAGGCAGTGAAACATTGCAACGTTGTATCAAGCTGGTGAACACTTTGGATCCTGCGCTGTCAATGCCTTTGCTCTAGCTGTGAATGTCAATGCCTTTTGTAAGATGTTCTTGCGCTGTCTTTCTGCTTGCTGATCATTGACCTGGATCCGTCTCCACATACATTCTGACTCTGAGGCGGACATGAACTTGACCTTGATGTAATGAATTGTGCGGAGCCACCTGGCACGGAGCCCAAGCTGGGTCAACTGATATTGTGGGGTGATAAAAGCATCACGTTGAGGATCTTTAAGTTAAATTTTTTCCATCACGACGGTTTGGGTGGAACCATCACGTTGGAGAATTCTTGCACATTATCCAAGTCTAGGGAAACAATGAGCCCCATACCTCCCAGGGCCAGGGAATGATGTCCCACAATATCGATTATTATAGTGGGGCATGGGGTGGAGGATTCATGGATATTGACAGATATTGTGCGAACATCTGCCAACACGACGGTTCCACCCAAACCATCACGTTGGATATTTTTAACATAAAAAAATCCAAACACGACCCTTTTATATCCAATAATGTGGGTTTCCAGGTTTCCCACAATATATCTCACAATATATTTTATGGGTTTACTGGTTTTGATTCTTCCTTGCGTCAAGTACCGGTGCCTTCCTTTCACTGTCACCTAAATAAGGTCACTCAACCAGGGATGCCCTCTTCCCCAACCGTGCCTTAGAAAGTCTTCTGTGAAGGGGCCACCAGAAGAGATTTTGTCGGCCAGATGCTTGTATGTGTGGACAATGGCCCACAAGATCATGCTCATGCGGCCAAGACCCTTAACAGGGAGGACTTTCCCATAGTCCAAAGGCTGGTTGAGGGGGATTGGGTCGTCCACAGCCTTCACTTCCATCACCTCCCTCCAGGTTTCGAATCCATTCAGCAGAATGGCCCGAAGGACAGAAATCCAGGAATGCAAAGTAGGCATTCCATCCACCGGGTAGCGGTAGAGGAAACACAGGACCGGCAAATCCACCACTCCAGAGCTGCTTGCCTCACACTGCAATGCAAGGATGTGTGCGCATCACATGGTCCTTGTGCTGATCAGTGGTTCCCTGCACTACAGTGGTTTCAGAGTAGATGACACCGACAATGAGATGGTTTTTAATGGTGTCCATATACACTCTTTTGGGGATTGTGTGATCTACTCTAAATCCACTATGAACTGGTTCAGCTTGGGAGCGGGATACCTGGACGTGTCTGGGCGAGGAAACGTGTCATCAAGTCCGGTGAGCCATGTTTGCAATGGTTCATAGATGGTGCCGTCAGCCAAGGTCTCGACCAGAGTTCTGACAGGATGTTCTTTCTGGCTGAGTTCAAAACCTGTCCTGAGAATACCCGGTGGTGCTGGTTTGGACAAAAACTAATTCTTGCATATTCTTGCATGTCACAGCAGTCTATCAAACCAAGAATCGAAACAAAACTGACAATCTCTTCTGCCCATGGGTGTGCTTCCTTGATAGCCTTACTGGGGCCACCTCCACCGGTGTCTAGAGGTCGCTTGGTCATCTCGGCCCTTCGCCGAGCCTTTGTGACCAGGACGGGGGTTTGAGCAAACCTTGAAGCCAGCTACAGTAGATCTTTTCACAAAACAATCATTGAATTTGACAACAATGCACTGTATGCACTGATTGCAATGGAACCAATCCCTGCCCAACCAGCACTGACAAACATATTTTATTCAGATCAGGGATCCAAGTCCAAGTGCATTGAGCAAAAAACTCAGTCATTGCAAGCCGCTAGCTAGCGCATTAGTCTTTACAATTTGTCGATAAAGAGACATCACTTCAGTTCCAAAGCTAGTATGCAGGTCAAGAGCATTGCGCCACAGCATAAGGCACTCATAGAGTTGCCGGCCATCTTTGCCTTCGTGCTATTAGGCAGCTCTCCTAGTTCCAATTTGGGGGCCCCACTCAGTGAAGCCTGCTGGACAGTGACTGGGAGAACTTGGGACGCAATCATTTCGTCACCGGTCAGGAACCTTTGCTTCTCCTGGCAGGTTTGCGTGGGACCAAGACCACTGGCATTGGGTGACTGGACAAGACGACATGCTTTCAGGGTCAAGGACTGGTGTCGCAAGGATTACAGGAACTAACCTAGGCCCTTGAATCTTATCTCCTCGCTGAAGATGCGAGCAGAATTTGTAGTCAGTGTCTGTAGGGAACCATCTTTGCACTCGCCACGACCACGCTGATTAGCTGGATACTGCTGAAGGTCAGGCCATTTCTTCTCCATCAGATTTCGATAGTCTTGAAGGACTTTTGCCTCAAACAACAACTTGTGGGCACTTCCGGTTTGACGGTAAGCAAAGCCAACCTTTAAATCTGAACAAAGACTAGTTGGTCTTAAGTTCATTCTGAGGCCAAAGTGCCTGTGCTCCGGACAGGTTGGACTTTGGGAGTTGCTTCCAAAAAAAGATCGAGGCATCCCGGGTCACAAACGATGTCAAAGCCTCCACAACATCCTCAACCTGCACATCAGCCCTCCAACTAACAGCTTCAGGGTCCCAAGCGATCAGGTAGATCCTGCTGCGGGATGCTGGGAAACCAAAGAGTCTCGGGTCAATAACACAACTCTTGGTCAGCCAGGTGGGTGGCAGCTCTTGTAGCACTACTGCTTCCTTGTATTCTGGTACGTTTTCGATCAATAAGGCGTTGTTCATGGCACACATCTCTTTGTAGTACTGCTGGTGGCATTTGAAGGCAGGGTGTCTAGTGCCAAGCCTCGTGCCAGCTTTGCTGAAGCTGACAGACACAGATTGGGCCTAAGAACTACTCACATGGGACTGAGCAACTGAAACGGTCCACAACTGGCGCACTCCTTAGGCTTGGGCCACCTACGTTGAGCTTCAATCCTGAGATGAAGATTAGACTTTTTGTCAGGATGCTCAGAGGGTCCACTTCACTGTGTTTTCTTGTGTCAGCACTAAATTAAGATAAGATTCTGCGTTCATCGTGGTTTCTCGTTGTTGGACACTGTTGCTGGTGTGTCACGCAAAAGTGTGTTGCTTTCTTTGCATCAAAGTCCAGAATGTTTGGGAAGCAACAGCAGCCGTAGGTATTTGCCAATACACTTTGACAATGTGTATCAATTTCACAGGCAAACTGACATCGAACATGTGGACTCGAAGCATCAGCTGCTTTGTGACCATTTGCGCTCAGGACTTGTGCGGCGACTGATTGGAGTGAAGCTAGCGCCTCAAAGGGTGACAGGGTGACCGCAACCAAAACTGATGGCTGTACCACACCAGGGCCCAATGAAGTTTACTTATTTATGAATTTCGATTTCACTGAGCACTGGACACTCTCGGGCGCTCCAATTCCACTGAATGCAGAGCTGAAGCTCCACTTCCAGGCACCCAATCGGGCACAAACAAAAGGGGCACCATACTTTTGACAAAGACGGTCCAAGAACACCCTCGGCCAGTTAAAAGCATCTTTCACGCTCTTGAAGCCACAGGGGTAGTCGGATGAGCCACCAAGCATGGTACACTTTGGATATTTGGGCCTGGCAATTTGGACCACGAAGTCTCTCCAAGGTCAATCGGACATAGAAACACAAAATAAGGGCCTTTTGGTCATGCACTTCAGGTTCCCTTTCTTCACAGCATTCATGTTCTTATTGGAGCGCCTGGTATGGAGCTGAAACTGAAACCATGACAACAGGCTGGGCCCGGGCCTGTTACCAACATTCTGCATGACAGATTGTTTCTTCTTCTTTTGGGGCCTCAATCCAGAATACAATTTAAGCTAGTAAGCTGGAGTCCTGGGGGCCCAACAATTGCAGTAGCGCTTGCACACCCCTGCGTGCCAGCACAGGCTAAGTTATGTTGACTTGGGTACGAGTATATAGTACAAACTCAGTTGCGCCTTTTCAGAGGCACTGTGCTCGAACCGCTCTTTGAAGTGATCCTTCAAGCTTTCCCGGTCTGACGTGGGGCCCCGGATATTCATTTTTTGGCTGGAAAAAATAGGAGGCCATTGAGATCTAACCTACTTCAGTCCTCATGAGTGTAGCAACGGTGCCCGGCCTTTCAGGCAAGGCATCCCAGACCAAGAACTACCAATCTTGTCATATGCGATTCCCACCTTCCTTCTCCATGTTCTCCAGCTTGGGCAGGTTGTTGGTTTGACCTGTCACGATTAAGTGGGGGCTGCGGTCTTGGGTCGCCACACAAACAGGTGTCAGGGATGTGCAAAGCTCAGTTCATCTCAATTCTACAGCATCATCATCATTGTACCACAAACCCTCATCAACCCAATCCTACCACTCTGCCTCTCACTCTCTCAATCTCACTCTCTGTTTCTAGTGCAATTCAAAAAGAATCTGTTGGAGTCCAATTTAAGGCCTTTAGTTTTACCGAAGCTGAGGTATTCGACATCCAGTTCATCTAGCATCAACCTGACCAACTGGAAGGACAGCACTGAAGAGCTATTTCCGGTGCCTCTTTCCTTCGGAACAGTTGGACCTGAAGGATTGAAGCCAACAGGGTTCCCAAGAGTCTGGTTGGATTTACCCCTGAGCTCTCTACTTTCCAGGGTCTGTCATACTGTCATCAAGGTTGTGATTTCCTCCCCAATACCACCAATAACTATTCTCACATAAGAAGCAATCACATCTTGGGCGGTCCTTTGGGAAACAGATTCTTTCCCAGCACCCGGGCTATAGCCGCGCTTATCCGCAACAACCCCATCCTTGAGCAAGTTCTGCCAGGGCAGGTTCAAGCTTTGACTCTGGCCGGTGTGTGTGTGTGTGTGTATGTGTTTGGACATGTATCAAAGCAAGTTTTCTCCTTGCAGCACTGCATCAGTTGTGAGAGAGAGAGAGCGAAAAACACCCTGCCAATGAGTGAATTTGTTCAATGCAAAGTAAGATTATGAATTGTCAGCTAGAAGCAGCCACAGAGCCATCTAAGTTCAGCTTCCCCGTGGTCTTTTGCTTTTCCATTCCTGAGAAATCAACAAAGAAGTGGTTTGAATTGATTGCCCAGGACTGATTGGCCTCGAAGCTGTTGGAATCAGCTTCTCGAGCTCGCTTCTTTGCAGCAAGGTCCTGCAGCAGTTCGTTCTCATTGATTGGGCCCCCTTGCAGTAGAATGACGGTGCTCTCCTTGACTATTGATTGGACCGCCGATCATATACAAAACACTAAATGTTCACTTTTAATTCGATATCAGCTCTTGTGTCAAGTTCTTGTCTAAAGATTTGTTAGATGATATGGGTGGATGTTGATATTTAACTATAATGTGACATGCCCTTATTTCTACACGCTGCTGTGCCAAGCCATGCTGAAGCTCAATAGAAGGTCAAAAAGACAGGATTAGAAGGATGTTGCATTTGTCCTCCAACTGCTTGGGGTTACCCAGCTCAGCTGCCTGCTCTTCAGCCTGGAATAGGGCCAGGGTTATGACGAGGGATCAAGAGTGCTTAGCTACACACTCACCCACAAGGAGATTGCAATGAGAAATGGCAGCCTCCTGCAAGAACTGATTCAACTTATTCGGGGTAACCTTCCAAGGTCCAAGGGCGAAGTGTGTTTAAAACCAAGACGCTGCCACACTAATTACCTCCACAAATTGCCTGGGAATCTTCATGCTCCCACCAGAAGAGGTCCTCCGCCTGACGATTGAGAACCATTCAGGTTGGTCTGACTGTGCCTACACAGTGATTGTTTTGGGGCCCTGTCCTGGCGTGTAGGGGGCGAGTCTTCAACGACGACAACCTTCCAGAGTGTTCATAGGGACTTGAAACTATGTACTTGGCTGAATATGGCCTGACAGTCAGGCTCAGCGTCCACCTGGCAAAAGCATGGTTGTTCACAATTGATTATTTTTTCAGGCACCAAGCACCTGTGTGTCAGGAAAAGTATCTGGAAAGGTGTCATCAACGCTGAACACCATGAACACCTGGGACTGGTATTCTTCAAAGGTCTCCTATCCAGGTACACAGGTGCACACCTAACCATGATGAGTTCACACTTTGGCTCGTCCTTTGTTTCCACTTCATCACTCCAGACCTGCCATGGGCAACAACCCAAGGACTGGCACTGTGCATCACCAATGCGCCACTGCCTGAGCATTCTGCCGCCTGTGGGGCGCTGACATTTTGCCGCCGCACGGATTCATGGAAAGGAAACACATGAACATACATGAACACATAACACATGAGGCCTGTAAGAGGGTCTGGGTCTTCGTTGGCATTTGCGATGTCCATGCTTCAGACGATTCCCTTTCAGAACACCAACCATCCCCCCCGGCGAATGACCAACCATCCTGGTTTTGCTCTTTGAGGAATGAAAAAGCTACAGCAAGGGTGTTTGAAGCAGGGTGTTCATGATGCTCATGCACTGCAACGTTTCATTTCGATCTAGGCAGGTGTTACATTTTGACCGCATGCCCGGCACAACTATCGTCCAAACCTTGCTTCAAAAGTCATTGCCGGAATGATGCGGTCCACAATACGTGGTAGCCCCGATTGAATCACCTCCAAACGGCCTGCTGCCGAATACCATGGCAGTGGAACCAAAGGGCCTGGATCCCTGTTTTGGCATAAATCCACCAAAAACTCCACAGCTCTCCCTCCAAGGTCTGAGGGGAAGCGGTTGAGGAGCAGCTCTGCGATGGCAAGGTATTGCTTCACCTTTGCTGGCTGGACAGGGCGAAGAGGTCTGGGAATCGTGGGTGAGCTGTTCAAGATCGGGAGCATGTAAGAGTAGGGCATTGCCAATAGACATTCCTAAGCTATGCATCGTAGCTTGACACACCTCCCAGTGAATCGATTCAAGAAATGAAAGCTAGATCAACATCAAGCTTCCTGAGCTAAACCTTCGTCCGAGGCATTCCTCTTCACAAGACACACCACGTCCATGTCGTGAATTGGAACGGGCACCCTGTCATCGGCTTTCACCACCACATTCCGAGGGAGGTCTGTCAGGGTCCAAGTATAGAGTTGGGACAGTCCAAAACTTTGTGATTTTCAACATCATTCATGTCTAAGCCCTGAAAGCACCTTGTCGCCTCATGAAGATAAAGGCATGATGCCCAGTATCATCGCTTTTCAGGCCGCCGCGGAAAGTCACATGGAGATTGTCATCAAACCTCGAGAGCGACAGCGGTCAGTGAAAAAGGGAGTGAGCAGGCAGTTTCCAAGCGAAGTTCCTTTCAAAGTGAAGTTGAGAATCTGGGTTTAGAAACTCATCTACTATCCCAAAGACTACCCAAGTAACCATTTTTTCCAATACCTGCAGCTTGTGAGATACTCCACTTTGATCACTGCATCTTTCCCGATGAAATTCCGAATGTTGATGCGATCCAGGATTGATTTGACTTTCCTAGGGTGTCAAGACAACGACGGCAGGTCACCATTAGACTCTGACTCTGAAAAAACAAGCAACTTCAGCCTTCTTCTTAATGTTTTCAGGTGGCAAAATCAAGTCACTGGGGTCAGCTAGCAGGTCCACATACTTCACACAACGAGCCAATATGCCGAAGCATTGGTCTTGGAACGGGCAACATACCAACACATCCCAACAACAAGTGGGGTCATTGAACATGAACATGTTGAGAAATTGGATGGCAAGTAAGCCAAATCCATGCAATGTTGCTGCCAAATCACCAAGAGCACCATGAGAGTGCCCCACCCTGGGGAAGAATAACCCCCCCAGGGTGAATTTCTGTTTTTGGAGTAGCGAACACATCAGCTTCATGCATGTCCCGTTCTTGTTCTCGCGAACGGTATTATCAGCCTTGCAAGACAAGCTCGAAACCCTGCACTCCCAGAAAGATAGATCAATGCTGCATGCCTTCACAAAAAATGAATGCAATCAAAGCACATGGATCAGGACTTCTTTGGGCATCTCTTTCTGGCGCTCCGTAAACATCACCCTGGCCTCTTCCAGTGCTCGTAACAGCGCCTCGACAATCAGTGAACTGTCCGCAGGAACACCTGGATGTACCAGGTACAAGTGTAGAGATATTCCGTGGAGCCAAACTGCATGAATCTTCATGCGTGGCCGAATGAGGGGTGAACCCTCCTTTGAAGAAGTGAGAAGCCGATGGCGAGGTAGGCACCACTTGGATTGGTCCATTCCATCCTGAGACAACAAGCATCCAAAAGCAGTAGATTTATGTTTCGGCAACAGTCAGACATTTCAATATGATTGCCTTCTAGCTTCCATATGGGCCGTGATTGCTGCATCTGGATCTTGCAATGGGTTCTGCACCTTTCAACATCACTGGGGAAGAGATATGAGAAAGGAACTGTATGTCAACCAAACAAACAAAGGCACCACACCAGCAACAACCTTAAGTACCAGCACCTACCACCAAATGGCCTGAAAGAACTCTTCAAGCTGACGGTCCTTTGCCACTGCATCTAGGTGGCACTTGTATCTCCGGATTGTATCGTACTTTGCTTGAGCATCCTTAGACTGATGGCAGTCCTATGTTCAATCATGTGGCTTGGACAATCAACAATTCAAGGTTCAAGGCTCCATCGCTCGCCGGAATGCATGTTTGCAGTCCACGCATTCGTCGCACTTTCCGTGCCCAGAAGGAGTTGCAAAGCGTAGTATGCTGGCCCATGTGCTTTTGAAGCGCCTCCAAAAAGTCAAATACCTTGTCTTGTCAAAAGACAATGAAGCAAGTCCTGCAAATGTGTTGCATCCAATCATGTCAATGAAGCCTAGGCACGATACACCAGGATTACATTGACCAAACTCTAGCCAGAGCATTTTTACGCTCCCTGGTGGCAAGTAGCGTGTTGGTAGCCGTGAAATTGATTGACAGAAATTGCTTTCCACATACCTTTGTCCGCAACACGCGCACAAACGACAAGCAACCCAATTTGCTGTCAGACTGACAAGCTAAGAACATCACTTCAAGAACATTGAGTTGCACCCCAACGTGTGGAGCCGCAACTCCTCGTCTTCATCCAGCCTTTCTCCGTCCACGTAATAGTCATCGCCACCTTTGCCAGCATTATCATCTTCTGAACCTGGCGTTCTTTTGGAGTGCTACACTTCCAATCAAAGTTGTGTGTGTGTTGCCTCAGGGCTTGTTTGCTGGTCAAGAAACAATCATCTTGTTCAGGATCAGGTTCTTTCATCATGATAATCTGCAAATCCGGGGATCCAGTTTTCGCCTTTTGGCCGCCCCTCTGAAACCTTGGACATTGAGGGCAGAACATGATGTTTAAATTGATAGGCACTGAGAGAGGTGCATGCAAACAAGATACTTGTCTGGAAGCATGCCAGCTGCATTCTGGTACAACTTCATCAAGTGCATATCCACCTTCATGCGCTTGGATGCCTTGAGCTTTCTTACCTTGATGGGGCTTGGAGCAGAAGCAGTTTCCCTGGACTAAATGCATAAAAACAACAAACTCTCCGAAGACCTATTGTCTCAAATCAATGCCAGGTACGAACCCAAATTTCTTGTACCGCAAGTCAACGCGTCCCTGAGAAACAACATGGATCCTGTTGTAGCCCAAACCCAACAGTGCCGACATGCATTTGGGACCAACACGCTGGTTCAGCAGCATCCACTGTCGATGAGTGCCCTCTTTGGCAGCAGCCATCTGGTGAATCTCAGTTTCCCAAATATAAAAACCCAACATATTATCACAAAATTGTGAGATTCATGACTTTTGCTTCGGATGAATAAGCCTGAATGCAAGGCATGAAACATATCCATCCTGAAGAGTTTTTTCAAGATTCCAGAAAATGGTCAAAAACTCCATAAGCTCTGGCTTCTTGAAGATCCTGAAGCACTGTCCACTGCTGCATTTGCATCTGGAACCCAGCAACTGTTGAACTCGGATATGACATTGGCCATTCACATGATGCCTTAGAAACACACAAAGCGCACAGAAATGACACTGAGAAAACTGTCCAGAAACAACCAGAAACATAGAACACAAGCAGCAGCAAACAAAATGTCAATCAATTTAGAAAAGTTACTGCTTCCGCTCCAATGGTTGGTTAGCAAACAGTTTTCGTTTCCTGCTGTCATAGTTTGGTCTCCTCCGAATCTGGGTAGTGGGAACTTGAACATGAGCTTTATGTTCATCATGGTCATTCTTGAACCGGCGCAGGGATTCCAATGAAAAATTGATCACCTTCTCTTCAGCTTGACCTGTTTTCTCTTCCACCTGAACGGCCTGATTCTTTTTCTCTCCATCTTCCCGCCCTCTCAAGCTTTTCAGAAAAGACCCAATTGAACTCGAAGATTTCCAGGCATTTGCATCCTTCAAAGCAGCCTGATGTCCATGGCCAATCCCACAGCCTTCATCCCTAAGGGATTGAAGAAACCTTACAAATCAATTGAGTTTCCAAAAGAAAACATCCAGGGCAGGTTCTAAACAAGCAACATCAAGCAACCCTCCTTCTTGCGGTAAAGCAGCTTCAGCCTTCTGACATCAGAGCATTGAGGCGTTTGGGCCATAGTGGCAGCTGGTGTTTTCGATGTCTTTAGTCTTAAATGAAACGAAATTGATCTCAATCCTGATGAAATGATCTTCTTCCCAGACGCAAGATAACACCCGCAACATAAGCTGTCCACAGCCTAACCGAAGCCAACCTGAAAAAGCGGGTGGGGGGT